AAAACTTAAGACATTTTTTGTTTGTTTCTCAGATGGAAGAGGACCCATAAATCCTAAGGGGTTAGAATACTACAACAATCTCATCAATGAACTCATCACCCATGGTTGTTGCCCAATGTTTCAATCATAGCTTCTATTCTTATGCACATTTATCTTATGATCTTCTTGAATAGGAATTCAACCCCATGTAACATTGCATAACTTTGATCTTCCACAAGCACTTGAAGATGAGTATGGCGGATGGGTTAGTCCGAAGATTATGTAAGACCCGTTATTCCCCTGCATCTCTATTTACCGAACACAAAATATGGCTGCTTTTCTATAACTGTGTAAATTTGAAAACCTGCATGTCTTTTAATAACTATATGTTTAAGATTTACTTATACATCCAACGATTCAGAACTGTCAACCACATCGTGTTGATCGACTTTCCGAAATAATTTCTCCAAAATAGACATAGGGTGTAACGACCTAAGCCCATCGCTAGCAGATATTGTCCTCTTTGGGTTTTCCCTCTCGAGCTTCCCCTCAAGGTTTTTAAAACGTGTTTGTTAGGGATAAGTTTCCACACTCTTATAAAGAATGCTCTGTTCCCCTCTCCAACCGATGTGGGATCTCACAATCCACTCCCCTTCGGGGTCCAGCATCCTCACTGGCATTTCTTCTCTTCTCCAATCAATGATGTGGGACCCCCATTCCACCCCCTTTCAGGGCCGAGCGTCCTTGCCAGCACACCGCCTCGTGTCCACCCTCTTTGGGGCTCAGCCTCCTCGAAGAGGGGAACAAAGCATTTTTTATAAGGGTATAGAAACCTCTCTATAGCAAACAAAAACCTTGAGGGGAAGCCCGAAAGGGAAAACCCAGAGAGGACAATATCAGTTAGCAGTGGGCTTGGGCCATTACGTAGTGAAAACCTCAAACTTTTTAATCGATGTGACATGTTTTAGCTATTATATCAGCTATGTTCAAGTTGACTAATATATCGGATTTTTAACGTGAATGTAGAGAAGATTTCAAAGCATACGCGGAGGTATGTTTTAGAGAATTTGGAGATAGGGTGTTGCATTGGTCAACTATAAACGAGGCTAATGTGTTTGCGTTGGGAGGATACGACTTAGGATTTCTACCACCTCAACGATGCTCGCCTCCATTTGGAACCAGAAATTGTTCTAAAGGAAACTCATCAATTGAGCCTTATTTGGTTGTGCATCATTGTCTATTGGCACACGCATCTGCTGCAAGTTTGTACAAAAATAACTACAAGGTATCGTATTTCTCTTTAGTCCTCGAACTTTTGAATAATCTATTTTAGTCCTTACATTTGTTTTCGAAGCACAGGACAAACAACATGGTTTCGTAGGGATCAGCATCTATATGTTTCGGTTCGTTCCTTTCACTGAATCAAAAGAAGACGCAAAGGCTGTTGAAAGAGCCTATGAGTTTCTTGTTAATTGGTAAGTTTAGGGTATCTCGGGTTAAATTGTTACAAATTTGAAAATATCGAGACTAAATTGTTGCTTGTTTTTGGTTGGAAGGGTGCTTCATCCATTAGTGTTTGGAGAGTATCCTAATTTGATGAAGAAAAATGTAGGGTCAAAAATGCCAATTTTCAGTGATGATGAGAGCAGTCTAGTGAAGGGGTCTGCTGATTTCGTAGGGATCATTCATTATCAGAATTGGCATATCAAAGATGATCCTTATAGCTTCATGATGGAAACTAGAGACCTTGGAGCTGATATGGGAGCAAAAGCAATCAGTATCTTTTAATGCTTTCCTTAATGCTTTCCTTTTATTCTTTTAGATATTAATGCTTTCCTTTTATTCTTTTAGATAAGACTAAGTTAAGATAAGTGTACGACTCTGATACCATGTTAGGAACAAAAAGCCTTTCCTCAGAACGCCTTATAAATTTACTTTTGGTTTCCCCAGAAGGCCTAACTAATAGAGATAGTAGTGTCCCTCATTTATATACCCGTAATCTTTCCCTTAATTAGCCAATGTGGGACTCCAACAATCCTCAACAATCATCTTCTCGAACAAAGTATACCATCGAGTCTCTCTTGAGGTTTTCTTTTCTTGGAGCCCTCGAACAAAGTACACCCTTTGTTCAACACTTGAGTGCCTCCTTCTCTGGAGCTCTCGAACAAACTCCTCTTAATTGAGCCTCGACATATTCTCTGGAGCTATCGAACAAAGTATATCCTTTGTTTGACACTTAGGTTACTATGACTACACCTTCGAGGCTTACAACTTCTTTGTTTGACGTTTGAGGATTCTATTGATACAACTAATTTAAGATAAAGGTATGACTCTGACACCATGTTAGGAACAAAGAACCTCCTTATTGATATGATATTGCCCACTTTGAGCATAAGGTTTGCTTTTGGGACCAATAAAGATAGTGTCTCTAACTTATATACTCATGATCTTCCCCTTCATTAGCTAATGTGGGACTCCAATAATTCTTAATTATCCTTTTCTAGAACAAAGTATACCATAGAGCCTCCTTTGAGACTTCCTTCTCTAGATCTCTCGAACAAAGTACACCTTTTGTTAAACACCTGAATTCTTTCTCTGGAGCTCTCAAACAACCTCCCCTTAATTGAGGCTTGACTCATTCTCTTGAGCTCTTGAACAAAGTACACTCTTTGTTCGACACCTTCGAGACTCACGACATCTTTGTTCTAGGTTAAGATAAGGGCAATGACTCAGATGTCATATTAAGAATAAACAACATCCACGTTGATATGATATTGTCCACGAATACAAAAAAATGTTTAAACTAAATTATTTATTACCAATGGGATATAGAAGGTAAGTATCTAAATAATATTTTTGAAATTAACTCGGAATTACTTTTTTTGATTCAGTGATACATGAAAATGTCACGACACCCGAGGTGAGTAAATATTTTCTATTTTTAATGTTGAAAATAATAAATTGCGTTTAATAATATTTTGTATTTCTTATTATGATATTGAAAAGCAAGACTGATTTTGTAGAGCCTCCAAATGGTAATTGAGTACTTGAAGCAAGTTTATGGCAATCCTCCAACTTACGTCTATGAAAATGGTATCGTGTGTTTTTTACCTTCCATGAATTATGAGTCCAAATGGTATCTTGTGTTTTTTACCTTCCATGAATTACTGAGTCTGTGTAAAAATCAGGAGTGTTCAAATGATTTGAGAACCTGATGAATTCGAACAATCCATATTGAGTTGGGTTACATTTACGAAATATTATTACGAAAGATTAAGAACATTAGTTTTTCAAAAGCATTAAATTTTGTAATCTATTGATTTGATAAAAGTTTGTTTGGAACATGTTGGTTAGGTCTTCCAATGAAGAGAAATTCATGGTTACAAGATGAGCCAAGAGTGGAATACATGCATGCCTACATTGGTGCTGTTCTTGATGCTTTGAGGTAATCCTTATATAAACAAAAACTATGAATCAAAAACTAATTAAATCTTAATTAGATAATCATTCTGTTTATACATACACATATTTCGGTGTTGTTGAGCTCAAATTGGAAACTGTTGTAGGAATGGATCAAACGTAAAAGGCTACTTCAGTTGGTCGTTTCTTGACGTATTTGAGTTACTGGATGGATATGATTCAAGTTATGGATTGTTCTACGTAGATTTCGATGATCCAAATTTGAAACGATATTCTAAATTCTCGGCTCAATGGTTCTCCAACTTCTTGAAAGGGGAAAGGAAAGGGAAAGGGAAAGGAAAAGGAAAAGGAAAAGGGAAGGTTGCCCATTCAAATGGGGTTTTGGAGCTCAACAACAATCAAACCACCTTTCCTTCTTCATCATACTCATCCTATATAAACTTTTAGAATAAGTATACAAATGTTCGAATCCTTTCTGTATTATATTATTTGTCGTATGCTATTATAATGTAAAATGAATAAATGTATTAACAAATTTGAACGTTACTCACCGTTGTTTAAGATATGAACTCGTTTGAGATCAAGTGTTATGAGCGAACTTTTAAAAAAATTATGTCTTGGAAGGAAATGTCATTTGCCATTGCAAATGAATGTGGTTGACATGTTTGTAAGGAATGATAGAAGGGAAAAGAAAAAAAGAGAGGGAATAATAAGTAAATAAAAATGACGTAGAAGAGCCTAGATTTCAAATGAATGAAAACGTGACTGAATTGGTCTCGGTCACTTTTCGGGGGGACGGAATGGAAGAGGGGAGAAGATTCTCGAACAAGGAAAAGGATCCAATGACTTTAAAGAATTGAACGAGGAGCTGTATGAGGTGAAAATCTCATGTACGGTTTTGTCGAGTGGCAGTAAGGGTGACTTATCTGTCAACTTTTCCATTATCACCCCCAAAAAACCAAACTCGGCCTTATGTAAAGTTGTCATTGCAAATCAAATGAGGAAGTGGGGTTTCCAAATGCAGATGGGCACGTCCAACGTAATAACCTACCCGTGGAAGGGAACAACAATCAAAACTCGTTGTTTATACCCTATACGTTGATGAGAAAATGGAGAAAATCTCTTCGTCTGGGGCTCACAATTGCTTAACTAATTCGTGAGGTCATAGCTTTTCAAAGCGATTATTAGTTGTTGGTCAAAGAGGATGATCGACATTGTAAATAAGACACTACTCATTTTGGAGACTAATTCTATGCCAATTATTGCATTTATGTCGAGGATGCACGTTTGACCGAGCAAGAATTTTTCATATTTTTCAATTTCTTTTCCACTAATTTATTGGAAATCCAATAATAAGCAATTAGTTGACAAAACCTACTAAATTTGCTCCAAAAGAAACAGAGCCAAATGCTCCCAAGAGACTGATTGAAGATTGAAAGTGAAGGGTTCCTATATCTTTGCCCCATATTGGGATGCACAGCCTTCCTATCATAATTTTCTTCTCATCAAAAACAAAACCCGACCTCAAGTTGCCAATGCCAACCCATTGCTGCTCGAGACACGACGTTGAGAAGCCGAACAACTTGCAAAACGGTGCACGCTTAAAGGTCTAACGAGCGGTTGGCATACTCCTGAACCAATGCCCCAAAAAGTGTTGCTCTTTGAAGCAACTGAGAAGGCCTATCAAATTCTTTTGCTTTACCTATTGAATATGAATAAAATGGAGTTAGTTTGTTATTCTAGGTGCCCGAGCAAATCGTGTCGCGTTAAGAAAACTTGCCTGCGTCGATCACTAAAACTCGGTTACAATCCATGACTGTGGGAATTCTATGAGCTATGCTTATGATCGTGCACGATCTGAAGTCCTCTCGAATGATATTTTGAATCAAAGCGTCGGTTTTCGAGTCGACTGATGCGGTTGCTTCGTCCATGAATAGAATCTTACTACGCTTTAGCATGATCCTTCCAAGGCAGAGAAGCTGCCTTTGCCCCACACTCCAGTTTTCTCCATTATCAACAACTGTTTGAGATTGGCAACAAATGATTACTTCATAGATTTCACAAGGGAGAAGCCATCATCATAAACTTAGGACAAAGAGAAGATGAGATTATGAGATAACCACCTGGAGAATCGAGTTTTTCGGGCTTAGAAGCCACGACATCTTTAAGTTGGCATCGATCCAAGCTCTGAAACAGTGATAACATTCGAGTAATGTGACATTCTTAAAACAATGGACAAAGCATATAAAGAAACGATTTTTACCTTCCATATCTCATCATCAGAATACAAGCCAATCGGGTCGATATTGCTTCTAACCGTCCCCTCGAAAAGAACCGGCTCCTGAGGAATGATCCCAAGTCGAGATCTTAGATCATGAAGTCCCAATGTAGCTATATCAATGCCATCAATAATAACTTTCCCTGCTGAAGGTTCAACCAGTCTGAACAACACTTGGACCAGAGTTGATTTGCCACTCCCGGTTCGACCAACGACACCGATCTTTTCTCCTCCGTTGATACTTAAAGTAAGACCCTTAAGGACCAGAGGCGTGTTCGGCCGATATCGAACCTGTCACTCATAAAAAAATGAACTGAAATGGCAGAAAGAAAGCATGATCTTATGAAGAACATGTAGATATCTCAAAAACTAACCTGCAAATTTTTTAGATCAATATTGCCACGGTATGGCCAATTTGAGGGAGGAAGAGAGTCTTTAATTTTCCATGCAGCTTCTGGTGGTATGACAGAAAATTGCTTCACCCTCTCAACAGAAACCATTTTGTTTTCAATGAAGCAGCTCATATAAATGGCCCAGAACATGACAGAGTTCAAAGACAATCCATATGACAAAGTCAAACCAACATTTTCTGCAATAAGTAATGTCAGTGTTAGTTAGCAACAACAATCCGACAACATTACCTATTTTTCTACGAAGAAGAACAATTCACAGTACCAGGTTTGATAATGGAGCTAGGTAGTAAGATCAAGAACATTGCTGAAATGCAGAACACTATACTTCCAAGCAATTCCAAACGGAATCCCAACCACTCATTTGATCCATTATTGTGGAAATCCATACGCAAATTATTGTTTACTCTTCTAATGTTTTCTCCACAAAACTGATCTTGTTTTCTAAAAGACCGAATGGTCATAACTCCTTGTATGCTTTCTGAGAAGTGATGAATTACAGGCGCTTTAGTTATCGAGTCGAGACGTGTCAATTCGCGAGATGTTGCAAGGTAGTATCCCTGTAAAATGAAACTAAATTAGAGCACGAGGTTGAGAAACGAAACAAAATATGCATCAGGATATCCTTACCCGGTACCAAACGTTGAGAAATAGAAGTGGAATCACAAGGAAAACTGTAGGCCAAGCATATTGACATGTGACAATGAAGATACTGAGCACTGTAATGTACATTGCAGTAGCAATGGTTATGAAGAAGGGGATGAACAAATCAATGTTGGTTTGATCATTTGAAGCCTAAATGAAAACATGAGATAATAAAGATTAGGAGGGACATAATAAGTAGAATTGGATCGAAAGACTGGTTCATGGTGGGAAAACTTACTCGACTTAGTATTCTTCCGGATGGCGTGGTGTCGAAAAACGACATGGGGGCGTGCAAGATACTAGTAAGAATTTGTGAAAAGAAAATCTGGGATGTCTTGAGCCCTATGAGTACAAAAGAAAGTGATCTTGTTAACACCAACACCACTGAAATGGCAGCGATTGCAGCGTATACCGAAAGGAACAACGAAGGGTCGAACGTCGCAGCGCGCTCGGCTGAAGTTTCGTATGCTAACCAATAATCACCAGCCATCAAAGAAGCTTGCCACACTAGTGAGAGTAACAAGGCCACTATAGCTCCCCACCAGCCATAAGCCTCAGTGCAATAAAGCTTATACACCTCCAAGCTAACACTCCCAGTTTCCCTCTCCTCATCTTTAATGAGTTTTGATGAACCCTTTTCGGCCTGTGGTTGATCCAAATGGCTGTTTTCACCATTGGTTTCCCTATGCAGCGACGGCGAATGAGGAGGTTTAGGAGACGAAACTTCGAGCGTAGGATTGCAGCTATCCACAATTTCCATGGAGGACTCATGAGCTGCTACTAATGCCCCAAACTCCATACCATTCTCTACTAGTTCATTGTATTTTCCAGATTGAACGATCGTCCCATCTTTCATTACCTATCATACAAATCATCAAAAAAGAATCAAAGAAATGTCATCTAATTGATAAACCAAAACTAAATGAATAAAGATGGTGTTCAAGTCTTCAAGAACGTACAAAGATTGAATCAACATTGTGCAAGAAATCAACTTGATGAGTAACAAGTATCACGGTCTTGCCTTTGAGAGCTCCCCTTACACATTCCTGAAGATTCGAAGTTACAGATCAGTTGAGAAATTGATATTGATGGGAGGAAAAAAGCCAACATTTGTACCTTGTAAATTTCAGAGCCAGTATGAGCATCAACCGCACTAAATACGTCGTCAAGAAGATAGATATCACAGTCCTGATAGACAGCTCGGGCGAGTTGTATCCTCTGCTTCTGCCCGCCGCTGAGGTTAATGCCGCGCTCACCAATCTCGGTCTGATCTCCATACTCCATCATTTCTAAGTCTTTTTCTAAGCAACAAATCCTGATAACTTCCCTGTATTTCTCTCTGTCCATATGCAAACCAAATAAGATATTGTCCTCAATGGTGCCATTTTGAATCCATGATCCTTGAGCAACATAAGCCGTTGTTCCACAAACATGAACCTGTTGTGAAGTTTGCAACAATAAGATATTGAAAAGTAATCATTTGTGTGTTTGAGTGTGTTTAAATGTAAAGTAGTGATCATTGGTCGGTCGGGGTTGGTTTAGGGATAAAGCCAGCATGGACAACCGACATGTCGTTGGTTCCGATCGATTTCGAGATGAAATCTTGGACTGCTAGCTTATCGAACAGTTAAGTTCACAAAACTTTCTATGAGAAGAAACTATACCTTTCCTGACAGTTTATGCATCTCACCAAGAATTGCAGCCAAAATAGATGATTTTCCTGATCCCACAGTCCCAACCACAGCTGCAAGTTCTCCCTTTTGAATCTTCAAGTTTATATCATTCAAAACGACTTCACCATTCGCATCGTCGTCCCAACTAAATCGGCCATTATTGACCACAACAGCAACATTCCCATGACATCCCTCAGTTCTTTCAATTGAATCTTCAACCAACTCTTTGCTCAACATGAACTGATCCAACCTCCCAAGTGAGACCATCGCTTGTGAAAGCGATATCATCGACTGAGGGAACGTTCGGATCGGCTCCTGCAACAACTTAAAGATAGTTGTCATTGTAAACACTGTCCCGGCATCGAGTTTGACACCTAACAGTAACGCAGCCCCAAAGGTGAGAGTTGATACAACTATTGGCGTACTCCACATGACTATGATATTAGCAAACATTGAATACATGAATTTAGTTAGCCATCCAAATTCTGAATCACGAAAAGCTTGAATTCTATCATTGAAATGCTCCTCCCATGCTTGAAACTTGATCACCCTCATGTAATTCAGCATCTCATTCGTTGCCTTCATTCGTAAATCACGATTCATCATTACATTGAATTGAAACTTGTTGTTTCGACGCGAGCCCAGCACGACGAATATAAGAACACCGATAAGTGCAAGCAGTGTTACAAGTGTAGCAAGGCCTAGATAAGCACTGAGAAGTGTCATACCAACACCAACTTGTAATGGCATCAACCATACAGCGTGCAATTGTAGCATCATATCAGAGAGCTGTTGGGTATCAACAGCCATGTAATTCACAATCTGACCAACCCCATGATCCTGTCTAGAAGATGATGATAGCCTCAAGCCCTTCTTATACAAAGAAGTAATTAGAGTGCATCGAATGAGCATACCAATCTTTTGAGAGTTGAAATTAAAGTGATGAGTGGTAAGAACTTCAAAAAACTTGGCAGCTAGAAGAATCAGTACAAGATAGTATCCTTCATTAGGAGAGCTACTTTTTCCAGCAGTGAAATCTACAAAACGTTGAATAAGAACAGGCCCCACGTACATGACACAAGTACGCACAATAGCAAGGACGGCTGTAAACGCAATTTCCTTCCAAAAGCAACGAAGCAACGTAGTTCGAACCGGGTGAGTCGACTTTTCATGAGGTTTAGGCCATTTTGATTCAAAGAGAGCTGACATTTCCTCAGCTCTATGCTGAGGTGAAAGAGTTGGAACTTGTTCTAGTTGGAGAGGGGCTTTGTAACCCATAGATAACAAGGGATTCATCCATAGCCAAAAGGCCCTCGATGTGAAAGATGCTGAAGCAAATAAAGACACATTCGATTTACTCGAAACTGACTCGATCGTGTCACTGTGTCCATCGAATTCTGCCTTTTCTGATACACCCACCATAACCCCTGTTGATCCTTTCATGGCAACAAATAGAAGAACAGCTGATAATGGAAATGAAGCTATGGAAACTATATCATCCAAAGTCAAATTGAGTTCATCAGTTGTTCTAGAAGAGACCAAACGCATAATTGCTGACGCCATATACAAGGAAATTATAATGAAGTTCATAACCCAGTAAATTCGAAGTGTAAGTGGATGCTTAGCAGCTACAAATCTTCTTTCATGGATTATTAAGATAGCAATCACTCCATGAGTCAATGCCTGAACCAACCAGAACGCCCCGTTCGCAATCCTCCATTTCGATTGATCACTTGAGAAAAATGTCAAGATACTTAGAACAAGGTAGCAGAAGGATAACAGGCTAGACACAATTAGAGAGAGTTTAAACAAGATGGTGGTCGTTATAGGAGGTCTACTGCTACCCATGAGAGGTTTGCTTACATCAGAGTCCATCCGATCACCCGACCGGAGTCTAGAAAACTTATGCAATGCAAAAGCTATGAGAAACAGCAAGAACAGGACATCAATGGAGGATAACAAAACCCTTTGAGGACAAGGTGAAAGAAAAATGAACCGTGACCATTGGAATATAGATCCAAGAGCCTGATCCTCAGAGGATTGAATCATGGAGCAAGAAGGTGAACTTAACCAAGAGGAAGCCATGGCTAAAATTTCTAAGCACAAAACACTATATGCTCATCTTCTACTTGGGAACTGTCCAGTTATTTCTCTAATTCCCTGAAAAGTAAAAAGCAAAAAAATCAAAATCAGTTCATAATGACAGCCCTTGCTCTGCTGGACCAAACAAAGACTTTTTAAGCAATGAAAAGAGCCAAATCAACTGTAAACATGTGGAAAAGACAAGTTGTCATACAAATAAGAGGGGATATGGGGCCATCGATCTTGACAGATCTGAGGCAAATTCTAGAGCAAAATGATGGTCTGAGCTATTACACCAAGTTCATCTTCACATAAACAACAAATTTTATGGACAAAATCTTCCAGAAGAGGATAAAGATGGAGGTTTATTCCATCTTTATAATGGTTGATACTGTCTCCAAAAAGGAAATATGCCAAATGAAAGCAGAAAATATTGGATTGAACTTATTCCTTCATGCTATGCTCTTAAAAGGGCAAATGTATACGTCAAGAACATTATCTGAAATTGAAGAACTATCTTAAACGGTGCATTTGGGCGATAAAAACACAGCAAAATACGATATAACCAAGGAAAGATTCACCAAACACCATATACAAAAAAAGGCAACAAAGAACATGAAAAGACCGGTAGATTTGTTTTACACTCAAACAGGGTAGTGAGAGAAAAAAAAGTGGCTTATTGACTTTAAAAAAAGGTTAAAAAAGTAGAACCAGAGTCCATTTGAGGGAGGGGTTCCTTATAAACCATGGGTTCCAAGCAAAACCCAAATGAATTTAATGTAAAAGCTGTCGTTAAAACTCGTCTACAGCTCATTTTGGAACTCGAAACCTGAACACGAAAGAATGGGAGGAAAATGGTGATGTTCCTTGAAAACAGAGTGTCTAAGCAAAACCCATGTGATAAAAAATGAAATGATTCGTTGAAACAGGGTTGCAGTGCAGATCATTATCCATAAAAAAGGAACAGCTCTGTAAAACCAGAGGTTACAAGAAAAACCAACAGGATTTTAGGGGAAAACCTGAAGATGAATGAAGTGAAAGAAATGGAGAGCTATCTTCAAAAAACCAGAGGTTCAAAAGCAAAATCCCAAACGAAGAAGAAGCGAATGAGCGGCTAAAACTTGCCCGTAGTCCGTAGCCACTCTATGGAGTTTATCAGAATGGGTATTTAAGGAAGAGAGAGAGAGAGAGAGAGAGAGATGGCAGGATCCTAAAAGATGTGCAGGGCATGACAGCGCCTCAGCAAGCTATGAATTTGACTGGACATGGACTGGCTTGATTCTTGTGAAGCATCAAAAGCCAATAACCATCTACCTCCAACAAGTCGCAATTGGCGACCCAAGAAATCATCCTCCAGTTTACTAACAGCAATTTTATTTATTTATTAAAATTGTATTAAATATAATTTAATACATAAAATACTAATTAATTTTAAAATTCATTAATTAAATGGAGGAGAAGAAGTAGGTGAAAGAAATTCAACATATTTTATTTTTTAATTACAAATTAAAATATATATTAATAATATCAAAATTCACCTAATCTTTTTCTCTCTTTTTTTAATTTATATTTTAAAAGGGTATTTTGTTTGTTTTTGAAAAGTTAAAAGGGTAAAATTGGAAGCTTAAGAAAAAAAACATTTTTTTATTATGTTTTTAAAAAAAATCAAAAAACATATTTTTAACTACTAATGATAAATATTTTTTTTTCTAATTTTACAAGTCAATTTTTTTTATAATACCTATATTAAAAAAATAGATAAATAATCATGATAACAGCTCGCAAATAATGGATAAATAATTTTGAGTATATTTACAACTTTTGAATTAATTATAGATTAATATTAGGTATTAAAAGATAAAAAGGTTGATTTAAATCAATTTTAACCTATGTATTTTGTACTTTACATATTTTTTATTATTTATTTTTTAAAAATTAAATCTCATAAATAATACTGAGATGAATATCATAATAGAAAAAAACATAAAATTAAAATTAAAAAAAAATGACATTAAATTGTGTTTTTATTACCTTAAAAGACGACAGTTTTAAGGTCATTCTCCAAGTTATTAATAATGTTCGTTGCCATGTACTTGTTTTTATGATTGAAAATTAGTACTTTCTTTAAGTAATACTTTAAACCAATTAATTTCACTTTTTACCCTTCACAGTAATATTTAATTTTTTTCCATATGTATTAGTAAAAGCAATCACTTAATTATGTCTACCTAAAAGAAATAATAATAATAATAATAATAATAAGCTAACATAAATAAATTAAATAAATAAAAAACAGGATTAAATTAGAAATCTTTTTTATTTTCTGATTGAATGGAAAGATTAATCTTCCAAAAAATATAAATTTTATTGATTAAACTATTTTCGTATTTACCATAAGTCAGATATACCCTTGTTTGGAGGAGATTTAATCGAAGAAAGAGAGAAAAAAAGGGTAAAAAGGGAATAAAGACAGGGAATTTACCTTGAAAGTTACAGAGAATCCATTAATGGAGGAATCTGGTGCAGAAGAGAGAGAGAGAGAGAGAGAGAGAGAGAGAGAGGAAGGGTTTTAAAAATGGATGAGAGAAGGAAGAAGAAGGTGAATTAGAATTTTGTTGCTTGGAGAAGAATTCGGCGAATATTTGGAATTTTATAATATTTTATTTTATTTTATTCATTTTCTTCTTTTTTCAATTATTTTATTTCGGTTGTTTGGTAGATAAGAAAAGTTTTGGCGATGAATTTTCCCGATGTGGTTGATAAGATGAGTGGTTCGCAGCCGCCCGTCAAGCCTGCCTTTAATTAGTTTTCTTTTCTTTTCTTTTTAATTTTTATAGTACAATAAATAATATAAATTTGATTTTAAATTTTAATACCATATTTTAGATATCAATTTGAATTGAAACTCCTGCTTCAATTACTCGATATGAAATTGACCCCTCTATTTTATTCAACCATATAATGATTTATTGTTTATATTATCGATTAATAATTGATGTGAAATGACCGGTTCATTAAAGATTAATTGACTAAAATAAGAAAATGTGACCAACTTACTCTATTATGTCTAATTCATTTCATAATATATGTTCATAATTAAATCCATCTACCCTTATAAACAAACATTATTATATTGTCCTACCCAAATTTCTCTTTCCACTTTCAAAACGTTTCTCATTTGATTATTAATTCTTTAAAATTTAGGACCATTGATCGAAAATATTAATTTTAAATATATTTTTGCCACCTCACCCATTAAACTTTTATGGGCGTATGATATTAACACGATCAATAAAACAACCTAAAAAAATTGCGAGAAGAGTTGGAGGTAAGTCTAGTATTTTATGGTATTAATTTAATTACTTAAGGGAGGAGTAGAAATTTGAACATCTGACCTAAAATATATGTCTTAATTAATTATCGAAAGTTAGTGAGCTCTCCTCTAAGTATAATATTTTAATGAGATCAATTAAAATAATATTATGTTATATACAAAGCGTAACAAAGTAAGGTAGAAATAAAATTTAAAAAATAATAATAAATCACATGGCTTCCATGTGTATTTGGCGGGTTGCCACGAGGAGGAAATATGGGTCCCCAAAATTTAAAAACCATGCAAATAAATAAATAATCTATTTGAATATAAATCAATACCAAACTTTATATTAGGGTTACTATGAAGGAACTTTATGATATAATAAAGCATGTGATATGACATATATGTGACAATTTCATTTTCAAACCAAGGTAGATGATAAAATAACTTTTTATTTTGGATGTGAGAGTTATATTATTAAAATGGAGTGTTACCCTTTTAATTTGGCATTTTTAATGGGTTTGAATGAATTATTGGTGGCATTTCAAAACAGTGTTTTGGAAGCGTTTATGATTTTGTCTCTTGAAAGCTTCCTTGAAGTATTTACGGTTAAAAGTTACTTTTCAGAATGATGACATTACATATAATAGCACGCTTAAGTCGCCTTTATAGTAAATCATGGGACATTTTTAGTTAATTGAAGTAGACTTAATTTTGGCAAATAGTCACACGACCTCTTCAAGCTTTTACTCGGTTTGATTGACCTCAAATTTGACCAACTTTCGTATATTTATACAGTTGTGTATCAAAACTCATGTTGAAACTTTGATTTGTTAGGTTATGGATCGAGGCACTACCAAACTCTTTTCGAACCTATCACTAACACTCTTATCTACCTGAGTTTATTTATTTTTAAAAAAATATTTCTTTTAAATAATTATTTTATTACCTAATTTAAAATTTTCCATATACTTTCATTAAAAAATAGTAACACGTCGTACAAATACAACATAATGTTGAACTTAATTTCAATATTACAATATAATCTTCTACACTTATAAAAGTGAATGGTGAGGGACAGAGACGAGAACGAGAAATACATTTTCCGTCTACGACTCTATTTAACAAATATAAAGAAATCTCGGAAATTCGATTAAATAAATTTATGTATTAGTTCAGATTTGAATTATTGTGGGCCAATCACAAAACAGAACAAAATCACTAGAAAGTTGGGTTCATAGAACGTAAGGGATGACCTCAGCTACCCAACATTAGTTCATAATAAATTAAACAACATTCCCTAACCTTACGTCTCAACTTCACGGTCTCTCTTCCTCTCTTAGTGTCTCAATATACTAAGTGATGTAAGATCTCACGATCCACCTCTTCTTAGTGTCTCAATATACTCGTTCCTCTCTCCAATTAACTTAGACATTTGATTTAAATGCTATAAAGATATTCTTTTAAGAACACAATTATTGAAGTGAAATAATCAACTTTAAAGGTTGACTTTTAGACCCTTTTTAAATGTCATTATTTTCAAATAAATTTACCTGCTACAATAATACCTCACTATTATTCCTAACTATTCCAGTCTCTATCACTAATTGAATTTCTACAATTATAAGAGAATCCCCATTTAAGGATAATAAATGAAGATAATTTTTACGAGACGTACTTTTAGAAAGATTTATAAGACTGTACTTTTAGAAAAATGACAAATCAATTTATACGAACTATTTTATAAAATTGGTATCTCTATGGCCTACTTAATAATGGCAACATTACATATGTCAACAAGTAGTGGGAATGGAGATAGTTTATGTCCAGTGAGATTTTACTCTCTCACTAAGATCATGAATAAAAATGACACTAAAATGATCGACTTGTTTGTAATAATTATATCTACGAACACAACTTATTTTACGATTCATCTAAGTGTAGTTTTAGACCTCTAATAAAGTAATTTATAGTTAAATATAAAAATTTTATTGGTTAAATAGATTAATCAATTGATTTGTATTGAAATGTTTAATTTTATTTATACAAATTTGAAAAAAAAAATTATTATATATATATAATTGTTTTTTTGATATTTGTGCCAAGCCAATCTAAACCGTCCATTATTTTCTACTTCCAGAAATTTTGGTAAATTTGATTTATTTTCTTTTTTTAATAAATAAAAAACGCTTGGTTGGTAGTAGCATTGGCCAATAATGTGACACGTCCTCATCAATTTGAACACGCGTAACATTTTAACGTTGAATGATCAAATTTTTATATCTTCACTTAGTGTAATAATAAAATATCATAAAATAAATATATAGTAGAGACTGTAAAAATTCGTGTTTGATAATTATTTTTTTTATTTTTATTGGGAAAAAAATATATATATATATAAAACTTATTTGGTAATTAAATATTGTTTCATGGTCTCCATAATTTTAAATTTCACGTGAAAGTTAGAATTCCTAAAATTTGGTAATTATATGAATTAGATATAAATTGATTTAGTTTTAAATTGGTGCTTAAAAAATATTATATTTTTCTTATTTATTTATTTATTTAATTAATTATTCATAAAGTTTAGATGAATAATGTTATTAACTTAATTCCTTCGTCTTTTAAAGGGAAAACAACAGCAAAAAAACAAAACAAGGAATCTTTATAAAAAATAAAAAAAAATAAAACAAAATAAATTTAATTTTCTTGAAAGTATACAATTTTGTCTCACATTAAGATATTCTTCTACATTTGTGATATTATATTATTAAAAAAAAATGTATTATTCATTATTTTACTCTCTCCAGATCTCATAATCAGTGAATTATTTTATTTTATAAATTTGACACGAGCCTAATAATAGGCATGTAACTTTATTTTTATTTTTTATTTTACTAAAAAAATAATAAAAATATCTTAAACCGCATATTTGTCGTCTACCCTCCAAAAGTTTTATCAATATTTTTTTAATTTAAAAAAAAGATTCTTTAATTTAAAAAAAATTCGTTAATACTTTTCAATAATTTTTTAA